GTCCCATTCCATCTTTGTTATAATGGTGATCTGCTGCACTTTTTGTTTGTTTCTTTCTTTTTTGCTCTTAAGAAACTCATAGTCTATGCTGCACTTTTAAGATCATTGAACTCATTGATCCAGGTAGTAAATACCATAAACTTCAGCGTTTGGTTCTAAGTGCTGTATTATCTGAACAGAATATACTTTCAAACAAATGTAAAAACCATGATCCTAAATACAGATCTATTAATGAACAGGATATCATTTATTTAGTGTTTGTGTTGCTTTAGAGACAGCTAGTAAACAAATACATTGATATTTCCATTGATTAGTTTAAAATAGCTTTATAAATGTGTCAGACTTGGTAACACAAATCTGTGATCTTCAGTGCTAATAAACAGTCCAGTCATTGCTCTTTAATAGGCAGAACATTGACCCTGAGGCACTACAAGACACTCACAGATAAAGCACAATATCTTCATCAACCTGGAAATGAGGAGTTATTACATTCTATGTTTTAAATTATCCGCAGTAAATCAAATCAGTCAGAGTTAACCACAGTATTCCACTAAAAAGATTATTCCCCCATTAATTTCAGGTACTTAGAAGTTTGCTACCATACTTCCCTGATAGTAGAAAATGGGCCAGGTGTGGTAGCTCAAGCTATAATCCTAGCACTCTGGGAGGCCAAGGTAGGAGGATCACTTGAGCTCAGGAGTTGGAGACGTGCCTGAGCAAGAGTGAGACCCCGTCTCTACAAAAAAATAGAAAAATTAGCCAAGCATGGTGGTGTACATGCCTATAGTTCCGGCTACTTGGGAGGCTGAGGCAGGAGGATCACCGGATCACTAGGAGTTTGAGGTTGTAGTGAGCTAGGATGATGCCACTGTACTCTAGCTGGGGCAACAGAGCAAGACTCTATCTCCAAAAAAAAAAAAAAAAAAACAGAAAAGAAAGATATCCAATGCTAAAGCAGTTTGAGTATCATGGGGTTTAATTAAAAAAAAAAAACTATAATATTCATATTCAAACTTGCCCAGATGAAATGAGCTACCTTGTGAAGTGGTAAATATCCCATAATAGAGGCTTTCCAGCAGATGATAGATTCCACATTGGCAGGGCAACAGTAGAGGAAATTTAAAATGAAGGAGAGTCATTGCTCTGCATTACCATTAAAATTACCTTTAATCCTCTGATTCTATAATATTTTCAAACTTGGTTCTCCAGAAAGATTAGCTCAGAACATCACTTATTTTTTTTTTTTATTATTGTAGTAAGAACCACATAACATTCAACTTACAGTCTTAACCATTTTAAAGTACAGAGTTTGGTAGTATTAAATGTATTTACATTGTTGTACAACAGATATATAGATCAATTTTTCATCTTGAAAAACTGAAACTCTATAAGCAATAAACACTAATTTCCCCCACCACATCTCCCCATACCTAAGTAACTATCTTGTTATTTCCTGGTTCTATGAATTTGACTACTGTAGATACTTCATATGAGTGGAATCACACAGTATTTGTACTTTTGAGACTGGATTATTCTGCTTAGCATAGTATGTTCAATGTTCATTCATGCTGTAGTATGTAACAGGATTTCCTTTTTTTCTAAGGCTACACAATATATCATTTTTTGTATCCATTCATCTACTGAAGGGCATTTGGGTTGCTTCCACCTCTTGGCTATTGTGAATAATGCTGCAATGAACATGGGTATGCAAAGACCTCATCAAGATCCTTCTTTGAATTATTTTGAATGTATACACCAAAGTGGAAGTACCAGATGATATGGTAATTCTATTTTTAATTTTTTTAGGAATTTCTATACTGTTTTCCATAATAGCTATGCCATTTTACATTCCCACCAACAGTGTACAAGGGTTTCAATTTCTCTATATCCTTTCTAACACTTATCATTTTCTGATCTTTTGATATGTGGCATGAAAATGGGTGTGCAGTGATATCTCACTATGGTTTTGATTGACATTTCTCTCATGATTTGTGATAGTAAGTATCTTTATGTAGGTGTGTTGACCACTTGTATATCTTTTTTTGAGAATTGTCTAGTCAAGTCTTTTACTCATTTTTAATTGGATTACTTGTTTTTTTGTTGTTGAGTTGAAGAAGTTCTTTATATATTCTGGATATTAACCACTTATCAGATACGTGATTTGCAAATATTTTCTCTGATTCCATTGGTGTCTTCTCACTCTTGATTGTTTTCCTTGATATGCAGAAGTCTTTAGGTCCCATTTATCTATTTTTGCTTTGTGACCTATGCTTTCAGTATCATACACAATAAATCATTGCCAAATTCAAGTCCTGATATTTTTCCTCCATGTTTTCTTCTGTGAGTTTTATAGTTTTAGGTCTTAATTATGTCTTTAATTCATTTTGAGTTAATTTTTTTATATAGTATAAAATAAAGGTCCAACTTCATTCATTTGCATGTGGATATCCAGTTTTCTCACCACCATATGTTGAAGAGACTGTCCTTTTCCCATTGGGAATCTTGGGAACAGCTATAAATGAAGGTTATATTTCTGGGCTCTATCTTCTGTTCTATTGATCAATATATCTGTCTTTCTGCCAGTACCACACCATCTTGATTATTTTTGCTTTATAGTATGTTTTGAAATCAGGAAGTATGTGGCCTCCAACTTTGTTCTTCTTTTTCAGGATTAATTTGGCTATTTGGTGTCTCAGTACTATCACTTTTAAAATAAGGACCATGAACACCATCTAACGTACTTATATAAAGGCAAGGAAATCCTTTTTCTGCTCTCACTTCCTAAAACAAACACAAAAACCTTCTTTCCCATGAATGAGTGGCATTAAGGAAAAGATGTTTCCTAGTAAATATCAGAAAGGACAGTAAATAGAGAAATAGAGCTGAGTTGCAAAATTATTCTTAATCAGAAGGTACAACTATTTAACAGGTTGTGTAAACATATATTATAGCCTGAAAAAAAATCAAGGGAAATGTTGGAATTTTCTAAAGTAAATGATTTTTCTATGCTATCAAAGTGTTATAAATGTATTCTAACTTAAAAGGACCCACAAATTAATCAAAACCTTTCACTTTAGATTAGAAAACTGAGGTACAGATAAGCTAAGTGACTTGTCCAAGAACACTCAGATATTGAGTATACAAAGACAGTGACCCAAGTTCTCTGGCTTCCAATTATGATTTACTCCTATATCATGCTTCCTTTCCAGTCTGATATGTTTCCTACGGTCAAGTTTCTCTCCATCTGGTTACCCCTCTGCTCTTGCTAAAAGAGACTTAACTTTATGCCCATCCATTATGGTAGTTGCATGGTATCCACTCAGTCTCTATCAACCAGTTCTAAATCATAATATTGACTACAATTTGTTTTGTGCTGAAGAAATTAAAGTTACAATACCAAACAACTAAAACCTTGCCTAAAATAAAATATTTTAAGTTCATTTAATGCTGTGGTCGTGTCTCCAAATGTATGCAATATCATGAGAATTTAGCTATCATCCTTTCACATATAACTATTTCAATTGATCCTTATTGTATTCCTACAGGATGGACACAATAGGTATTATTTCATTTTACAAATAAAAGTGGAAGTCATTTATTCTGCCTGAGGTCACATGACTAATTATTGATAGAGCCAAGATACTAACCCTGGTCTCTGATTTTGGATCTTTTGCTCTTTCCCTTCTATCACACTGTTCTACTTCTGAAATCACAATTAGTTCGCAACCAATGTGTCTATCTACTCTCAAAATATTATCGTTTAGCTGTCCCTCTCTTACCTCAAATTTAAGATGTCATAATGGAATTTAGTCTATTTACCCATTAGTCATCTTTCCTCCCAAATACCCGCATTTTTTGTGCTGATACCATCCAACTCTCAATTTACTTAGTCACCAAATCCTGTCAATTATTTCTTTAAGTTCCCTCCTTTCTCCACGAGCTGATTAAAAATCCTCATTGTTTCTTACTAGGACTCTGGAATATCAAATCTCCAAACTTCACCTTTTGCATATTAGGTTTTTTTAAACACAGAACATGCCCCTAAAACATACTCCCAATTACTTAAAATTGTTCAAAGGAAATAAGAATAAAATAAAAATAAAGAAAGAAACCACATTAAATGTAAAATGTTTCTTCATCAATAAAGGTCTAAATTTCTCAATGATGTCTTTGTTTTTATTTTCCAAATTTTAATAAAAAGACCACTACAATAAAATAAATGTAAAACTTGCAATTCATTTTAATAGACTGAAAATCTACTATTCACCAGGCAGTACTAAACATTTCCATATTCATGATTTCATTAAAATCTCATAAGTGAACTATAAGATGAAGAAAGTAAGACTTTTAGAGTTAAGTAGCTTAGACTAGTAATATACTTTCCTATGATGAAAATAAAAAAGTTTCTTTTATATATTTTTCAGCATTTGTTTCATTTATCTGCCTGACAAGTTGGCACATTTTTATCCCACTTAGGCCTGATAACTTCATATTCAGGAAGTAAAAATACAAATAATCCTTGTAAACAGCCAGGAAGTTGAAAAATTTGTTTTCTAAGTATTCATGAGTCCAGCATAGATGTCCACCCTCCCTCTTCCATTTTGGAGAAAAACAGTACCATTGCCAAATTAGATGACTTCCTTTCCTGGAAGCACATTTAGCATATTCTAATAGTCTCAAATAGTTTAAATAACACCTTCTATGTTAAACAAAAATATTTTTCAAGCAGGGAGAAGTGAAATAGATTTCAAAATGTTTGTGTGGTCACCTAAGACCATGCGCTAAAACACAGATCCCAAAATGAAACACACAACTACTCAAAATAATACACATTTAGTGTCAGCTCAGGAGCAAGAGAACTCAGCATGCTGACCAGGTCAAAGCCAGAAATTAGGTTATACAGCTTTTTTACTTGATAATCACTAGAAGCAGTATCCATTGAAAAGAAGACGAATCTTGCCCATTAAGCATAGAAACAAAGAAAATATTCTAACACTTACACTTGTCTTTTCATCAGTTTCATTTTCAAAACACTGATTTTCTTTATTTTGCTCAATACATGAAGCATTTTCATTTGGTCCACTGCAACCTGTAAGCTAAAAAAAAAAAAAAAAAAAAAAACTGTTTAAATCAATACTTATTTGTTTTCTGCAATGTATATTGTTTTCAAATTTTTACATACATATTAAAATATATAAAGCCTGAATAAATACTAGATGTTGTTTATGTCAGTTTTAGAATATGAATGCACTATTTAATCCATTTTTATATTGCTCCTAAAGAGAAAACATAAAATGACACAAGTTATTCAAAAGCAAGTTTTTAAATTTCAAAGCTTTTCACCAGGGAATGTTGAACTTGGACTATTCAATAGTAAATTGATGATGTGGTAAAAGCTGAGCATGGTTAATGGGAAGATGAAAATAGAAGGGTTGATTTCGTCTTTTGTAATTTCTCATACTTAACAGAAATCTTTACTTTATGGTGCTGTTGGAGCTCTCAGAACTAGCAGAGGTACTGACTGCCTTTGTTCTGGACTATTCTTTTAGGGCATTTTTATAACTGCAGGTTTGGATGATAGAAATAATGTCTACTTCCACAGCAAAGGGTAGGTTTGCTAACTGATCATTATAAAAGATATGTGTTCCCGAAACTGAAAGAATGTAACCTATAACATGACCCACCGCATATAAATGTATTACATGGCCATCTCTGCCTTGTCTTGTAGGAATTGGGTCTTGAGTAACTGGTACAATAAAATGTTAACCACTGCTCTTGTTGCAAGTAATAAAATCCTTTGTATTTGTCCTAGGAATCTTCTGGCAGCATCTGTAAAACTGTGCCAGGTTAACTTCTAAGCTTGAGAGTAGGGTAAAATCTTAGATCTGTCACGGTTCTTGACAGTCACAAGTACGGAATGCTGACAGAGTCATGGTTTTCTGGAAGAGAAAGGGTTAGAAACTTGTGGGCTGATAAAATGGATCTGTGGGACATCTTTGGGAATTGGTAGGAAACATGCTGACTGCACTGTATGTTCAACCACATAATGATCCTTCATTTTAATGCATACTAATGAGAAGAAATTCCTAAAGTGGTTGCAGGCTGAGTACTGGGAAATAGACTCAAAGACAGCTCCAAAAGGGTTTTTACTAACTCTTCTTTGGGTAGGAGGACTTCCTTACCAATTTACCTGTCAGTCTCAGCTCCCGGGATTCATTCTGGGTGAGCAAAAATCCCTGCCCCTTCTCAGTCAATAGCTATAGAGACATGTACCTGCACTGATTGTGAAAGGAGAGAAATTTGCAAACACTGTGAGCAGAAACCAAGATTTCTGTAATTCCAATTTATTTTATTAATAGATGCTCCCCTTTTCTACTCCCATAGTTTGCATCTAGCATTGTGATTAACACATTGTATTATAAATTATATATTTACACACACACACAGGTGTATATATAATCTGTCCTATTAGAGTTACTTGGAGGATAAGCAGTATGTCTTACTGTTTTTCTTTTTTTCACCTTTTTTATTCATTTCTGTGAAGACTCCAGAAGTAGTTACTGTTTTTCAATCCCCATAAATAAATAAATATTTATTTAATGAATGAAAAAATAAGATTAAATCAAGATTAAATTAGATGAATGAATGGATGAATGGATAGATGAACAAACAGAAAAGAGCTCTGATCTGGCTAAGAGGAAGGTCAGGCTAAACCACCTGGGGATACCCAGGTAGCCTCTGCATCAGAAACATAGAGTTCTTTACTTTGTGCTGCCTTTTTGGAACAACCTTTCTTTAGGGTCACAAACTATGGAAACAAGTCGGGGCTGCCAATCTGACTGTATCACTCATGTAGATGTCCTCGGTAAGGACCAGACTTCTGATGAGACCTACTGGAATCAAGATGCTGATTGAGCCTGCACTGCCACCATTGCACACTGGATCCGTGATCATACTGAACGTGGAGCACATCCACTATCATAGATTAAGGACAGAGTAAAAGACTGTTTCTGAGACTGGGGCCACCTGGGTATCCTCAGGTGGTTGAGCTTTGTATTTCTCTTAGCAAGATCAGAGCCTTTGTTCCCTGTTTGTCTATTTGTTCATCTATCTATGCATTCATTTATTTATCTAATTTAATCTTTTTATTAAATTATTAATATTAAATTTAATTATCAAACAAATATTTATTCATCTCTGGAGACAGAAAGACATTAATATGGACTGTCTGTCCTTGAAGGAACTCTAATAAGAGAGAGAAATATAAAAATATGTAATTGGTAACACAATGTGTTAATTACAGTAATAGATATAAAATATAAGAGTAGCATCTTTATCAGACTGTGAAATCGGAGAAGTCTTCCTTAAAGACATGACATTGAAATAATGCTGAAGACAAGGGAGGTTATCTAGGCAAGCAGGAGTGTTCAGTCTAATAGAAAACAGTGTGGACTTGAAAGGCACAATGCTCAGAAAGGCATAATGACAAGTTACCAGGAGGAGCAATGGTGGGAATATAAAGGCATATCAAGAGCCAGTCAAGAGATTGAGATTGAGTGTTCTGTATGTATTTAGGAAGTATACGTGGGACAACATCTGGTATGAGGTAGGAACGTTGCAGCTCAGATCTTCAGCTGCACTAAACTCCTGAACCACTTTCCTACTGCCCACTCATCCTTTGAAATTGTGATCCCCAGACCAGCAGCATGGGTTTTAGAGTAAGAGAGAATGAGTAAGAATTCTTTCACTTCCACCTACTAGCTGTGTGTATTGGAGAAATATTTAAACTCTATGACTACCATCATTGAAAATATGGAGATAATGCCACCCATCACATAGGGTCTTCCTCCTTATCAATCATCCCACAGTTGGGTTGAATTCTTTGGATTATAGGGTAGGGAAAAATAGCTTCCCTCCATCCTCCTACATTCCTTGGCTGAGCTACAAATTAAATTGACATAAGGCAGATTAACAGGAGAAAAACTATTTTAATTACATGTGTACCCACGTATGCACAGAAGTTCCATAAAAATATAAGATTCAAAGAAGGGCCAGATGATTGAAGCTTATATAGCATCCTGAGCTACAGAAAGAAATAAGGGCTTGGGGTTTCTGGAGGTGGTAGAGTCAAATGATGGAAGGGTGAGGGGAAGAAATGTATGGTGCATAAAAGTTAGCTAGTTATGCAGATAAAAGACTTTCAACTGATAAAAGTTGTCTCAGAGCAGTTCTCTTCCTGATACAAATAGCTCTATTAATGAAAATCTCCTTTATAGATGTAAATTTCTCTAACAAAAGGGAAATTTTTCAGATCTACTCCAGTGTCTGCAGTTTCTCAAAATAACCAGCTTGAAATAATCAATATGCCAAAGAGCAATATTTGGGGGTGGCATTCTGGTCTCCTAAAGTCACATTTTGAAGTGATGTGTCCTTATACCTGGCCCACTTGTAATAACTTAACATTTGTCATCAAGATCAGTGGTTTTCAAACTAGCATGTGTCAGAATCACCCAAAGAGCTTATCAAAACACAGTCTGTAGTGCCCCAGCCCTATTGTGTCTGTATCAGTAGGCCTAAGAGTTCATCTTTGTAACAAATCTCTGGGTTATGCTGATGCTGCTGGTCTGGGGATCACAATTTCAAAGGATAAGTGGGCAGTGAGAAAGTGGTTCAGCAGTTTAGTGCAGCTGAAGATCCGAGCTGCAACTTTCCTAGCTCATACAAGATATTGTCCCACATATACTTCCTAAATACATACAAAACACTCAATCTCAATCTCTTGACTGGCTCTTGATATGCCTTTATATTCCCACCATTACTCCTTCACCTGATTACTTGCCATCATTTTTGTTCTCATGGAAATAGTAATTTTCTTCTGTACTTCTATATTTTCTTAATTTAAAAAAAGACCCTTGATTGCTCCAAAACTAGTAATCTATCTCTGACTTTCTCCTCCCTGAAATCAATATTCTTGAAGGACATAACAGTAGTAATAATAGCAATAACAGTACAACAATAGAATCATTTAATGAAAAGTTACAATAAGCTATGCCTTGCTTCAAGGATATTGATACACATTTTATATGCATTGTCCCATTTAGATTAAAAAAAACACCCTATGAAGTAGACAATATCATCCTTATTTCCTGGGTGAGAAAACAGAATCAGTTCTGTCTGAACGAAAAGCCTGTGCACCTAACTAAAATACTAAACTCCTGAACCACTTCATCCTTTCAAATTGTGATCCCCAGACCAGCAGCATCAGAGATTTATTAGAAAGATAAATTGCTGCCCCTATTGAATCAGAAACAATAAGGGTGGGGCCCTATAGTCTGGGTTTTGACAAACTCTCCAGGTGATTCTGACACATGCTAGTTTGAAAACCACTGATCTAGATGACAAATGTTAAATTATTGCAAGTGAGCCAAGTATGAGACATATTTAGGAAGGGATGGATAGTTTTTGGCAAAATGGAGAATGTGTTCCCTGTCTAATAGGTACAGTCTCTAGTCATTTCCAGGCATTTGTTGCAATGAGGAAAGCCAGATTCAGTGTTACCAGGTCTTTAGAATTTTCAAGAGAACTTGGAAGTCTAAACTTTTATGAGAAATAACTTGATTTTTAAATGTTGACAATGTGAAACAGTTTATGAAAGGCCATTGTTTTGGACTGAGCTCATGCACTAGGCCCAAACATATCAGACCAAGCCAGAAAGGAGTCACTCATGTTAGGTGTCACATAATCAAACAGAACTTTAAAAATGGCCAGTTTTCTTAAAAATCAGGATGGTCACAGCAACCAATTAGAAGGGACCCAGTCTACCTGAGTCATCATATGAAAGACCCTTCCATTTTAACTCTATAAGGAGAGTACTTTGAAATGACCGATCTGCTTTTTGTTCCTTATTTCTGCTTTCTTTGGCCCTTTTCTGCTTATAAAACTATTAGCCTCTGCTCAGCTCATCAGAGCACCTTTCTATTTCATAGATGAGATGTTGCCTGATTCACAAATCACCAATAAAAGCCAATTAGATCATTAAACTAAATTTGTTGAAATTTTGTTCTTTGACAACAACAACTATATATTTTTAAAAATA